TTTTGACAGTAACTCCCACCTTTTGGATCAGGCTTCCAGAGAAGGGGCAGCATCTTCAGAAGGTTTTAGGAGGGACTGTAAGTCCATTACATTTGCAGGGGCTTTTAATGGGATTAACGGGGTTTTGTTGTATTCTGTATGCTTTTAAATCTTCGAATCATAAGCCACCTTGAGCCGCAAAGGTAAGGCTGGGTGTACATGTTTTAATAAATAAAGTCCCTTTCTATGTCTGCACAATCACCTGAGATAAGGATACTGTTCTTTCCATCAGCGTTTTGGTCTTCTTAAATCCAGGATCGCTTTCTGCCAGGACATTCATAGTTTTCTTGCCAATGAATTCCAAAGCTCCAAGTCCACCAGTTAAGACACTCTTCCCCTGTTCAAAGTGAGAACAACATTCTTAGAAACTAGCATCACACAACCTCAAACATGTTTACAGGGAAATAAGTAAATCCCGTTTGTTTCTCAATTTGTTTCTCTCTGCACGACACCACACTGAAGCGTGCACTGTAATAGAGTGTAGTGAGGAAAAAATATTTTTAAAAAAACTATATTTAGGCCCCGGTCACACGGGCCGGATATCGCAGGGGGGAGGCGTGGCTGTTTGCCCCGGAGCGAACTACCGCGCGGCCGCCGGATCAAACGTCCTACCGACGTCCCGTGGTGCGGGGGGGGGGGTGCCGATCAGATGTCAATCCTGCGGCGCGGCAGGGGTTGCGTGGGGTTTTTTTTAACCAAAGTGTGCGCATGCGCCGTTGGGTGCTTGTGCGCATCCCGTGGAGACTTGAAAAAAAACAACCTTTTAGCGACGGGACATGGGCGGGCGTCGGATGCCATGAGCTACCACAGGAAACGTGATCAGACGCTCACCCTTGCCCCGTGGTTTCCGGAAACTAGTACCTCGGAGGTACTAGTTTTTTACGGCGCATCTTCGGCGGGAAGCCTCGGGTTAGCCACGGGAGCGCTACACTTCCCAGATGTTGCGGTTTGATCGCGCCCGGAAAATCCGCCTATCTTACGTCTCTGTAGTGTGGCTAATGCTCCGTGTGACCGCAGCCTTAGGATCTCTTCAGTTAAGAAGAGTAGTTTTTATACCCCGCTTTTCTCTACCTCACAAAGTCTCTAAGTGGCTTACCATCTCCCTCCCTTACTCTCCCCACAACAGGCCCCTTGTGAGGTAAGGTGGGGCTGAGAGAGTTCTGAGAGAACCGTGACAGGCCCAAGGTCACCCAGCGGGCTTCCTTTAGAGGAAGAGTGGGGAATCAAACCTGGTCCCCCAGATTAGAGTCCACCGCTCTTTCAGGGCTCGTTTTGTAGCAGGAACTCCTTTGCATATTAGGCCACACACCCCTAATGTAGCCAATCCTCCAAGAGCTTACAGAGCTCTTCTTACAGGGGCTATTTAAGCTCTTGGAGGATTGGCTACATTAGGGGTGTGTCGCTTAATATACAAATGAGTACCTGCTACAAAAAGAGCCCTGTAAAACCACATTGACTCTCAAGACTCACAGGAAACCATGAAGAGTTTAAGAGGGAGGGAGACACCGTGCTGCCCTTGAACCTGGATCACTGGCACAGCATTAAGCAAACCTTCTGATCATCGCTGGTGTGGGAGAAATCTGTGGGCAGGCAGCTGCTCTGCACAATAAACCGCTTATATTGCCCTTAGGTTGGCAAGGTTGGTTACTCACCGGCCTTCCAGACACGTAATGTCAGAAGGTGCTTATAGAACCATCTGAATTACTCTCAGACCTGACAGCCTGTATCGCTGCTCACAAGCTCTGGGAGTCCATGAATCTCCGGGTGAGCCTGGAGCATTCATAACACATAATCCATCACAACAGAGCTCCAGTGGCCGTTGCTTTGTATAGGAGAGCCAGATCAGCCTGAATGCAGTGGCACACCGCAGATGGACCATAAGGCAGGTTTGAGTCGATATAAAAAGGATCGCTTTAGCAGGAGGTGAAATTCTGCTCTGAAGCTGAAAAGTAAGCCGTCACTTCCTAACTGTAAAAACTCATGGTGTCATAATAATAAGAATCTACTTCTACAAATACTGTTTTTTGCTGCTGTGCACAGCTTTCTTTCTTTCTTTCTTTCTTTCTTTCTTTCTTTCTTTCTTTCTTTCTCTCTCTCTCTCTCTCTCCCCCCCCCTCTCTTTCTATCCCACTATTCTCCACAGTAGTGACACAAAGCAGCTTATAATATTTTTCTCCATTTTATCCTCACAGCAACCCTGTAAGGTAGGCTAGGCAGAAAGTGAGTGATTGGCCTGAGGCCATTCAGCAAACTTCTATGGCAGAGTGGGGAACTGACCCTGGGTCTCCCGCCTTTAAGTCTCACACTCTAGCCACTGCTTCCTGCTGGTTCTCAATCTCACCTGCAGATATGGTGCTGTTCAGGGGTCATTTCGTGGAAAAAGAGCTGCAGGAGCTCATTAGCATACCTAATAAGCTATTCGCATAACAGCTCATTAGCATATGCCACGCCCCGACATCACTGGAAGTGATGTCAGAAGGGGAAGCAAAAGGGGAGGGGAGGCAGCTGAGAAGGGGTTTAAACTTTAAACCCCTTCGTTCCCCGCCCCCCCGTCTTGGCAGGGCAGCTCGGGGGGGACCCCTTCTCTCTCCATTCTATTCCAGGGGGCCATAGAATAGAATGGCGAGATGGTGGCACAACTCCAGAGAGAGAGGAGGAGTTTAAAGTTTAAACCCCTTCTCTCTCCATTCTATTCCAGGGGGCCATAGAATAGAATGGCGAGATGGTGGCACAACTCCAGAGAGAGAGGAGGAGTTTAAAGTTTAAACCCCTTCTCTCTTTGCCAAGGCAGGCTGGGGGGGGGGGAAGCAAAGAGAGAAGGGGTTTAAAGTTTAAACCCCTTCTCTCTGGAGTCGCACCGCAGTGCTCCGGCGCACTTTGGTCCCAAACGACCCCTGGTGCTGTCTACCCCAATCTTGCAAACTATGAGGAAATCCTTGGATCAAATGGAATTTTTTTTTAATTAAAAGACCATCTTGAATGTCAGTATGGTATGACTGCTTTCATTTTGTATGAAAAAAACTCTGCCAGTTCTTCATTAGATATCACTACAACAAATGCTGCTACAAATAGTCCTACGGCCATCAAGAATCATTGAACATAACTGAATGCATGGGAGGGGGGCACTGGAAAAGCCCTTGCAGACACGTAAGACGCAGTCCATCAATTCCCAGATTTTTATTTTTTTAAAAAAGGTAAATCAGAGTGCAGCAACATTAGAGTGCATTTGAAGTATAATTAGGAAACATATTTTCTTTATATGTCCTTTGGACACAGAAGGATTTGCATACCCTTTTTAGTAGGACCTTTGGAGATTATACTTTTAGTTTGCATTCTTAAATGATTATTGGAACATTTTTACTGGAAGGCATATCACATACCCATACCTGTATTTCCACACGGTACTTGTCAATGATACGTTGTGGCTACAATTTTTGAGCCCCCTCCTCAATTCTTTTTGGGCTACTTCCAGGATGTTTAGAAGGCCAGCCTACGTTTTCTAACAGTTCCAATACATCATACTTTGGAACAGTTCCAATACAGGTTTTATTTGTGACTCTGTCTATTCCTTTCTCTCTCCCTAAACCAGCTGGGGGCCTGACTGGACTATCATAGAGTCTCTGCCCAATGTGTTCATACTCTGAATAAAACTCAGATTGTCCTAAAATGTTTCTTTGCATTTGCCTGGGTCTATGCCCCCTTCCCTTTAATCAGAGTTACTTACCGTATTCTGCACTGCACTAGAGAGGGTAGAAAACACTCCACGTGAGCCTGAGGGAGACGAAGACAAGGGTGGGCTGTCTAAGGAGGTTTCCTGTATAATCTCCTCAGAGTCTTAAAGGCAAAAACAAACAACAGCTAAGCCAAATGCAGATATACATGCAGTTCATATACTGGAACAACATAACAAATCTCACCCCTGCAGCAGTGATCGTGAGATAACTAATGCACCATTTAGTACCTGTGATGGAGCTTTCATCTGTGTCAAGAGGAGGATCGTCTGCGGCGTCAGAAGGAGGGCCATGAAGTCCAAGGGTAGCTGCTTTTTCCTTAACTGCTGTAAATCCTTGCCCTGCAATAGAATTAATACAGCCAATAGTTCCACATATATTTCTTACGAGAAAATATGAGACACACAAAATAGGTAATGTGATATCTGTTTTTTTAGGAAATACCATTTCTTATTGTGGCCGTGGTTTTACTATCTTGGTTTTTAACTGTTTTTGTACTGTGCTGATTCTTTGTTACACACCATTTGTTAATCTGTCTTAAAACCCTGTTTGATGAAGAAGAAGAGGAGATTGGATTTATACCCCGCCCTTCACTCAGAGTCTCAGAGTGGCTTACAAACTCCTTTTCCTTCCCCTCCCCATAACAGACACCCTGTGAGGTAGGTGGGGCTGAGAGAGCTCTCCTGAGAACTGCTCTTTCAAGAACAGCTCTGACAGAACTGTGGCTTGCCCAAGGTCATCCAGCAGCTGCAAGTGGAGGAGTGGGGAATCAAACCCAGTTCTCCCAGATTAGAGTCCGCACACTTAACCAGTACACCAAACTGGTGGGAAGGGTATTCATATTTGCATCAGAATTTTTCTGATTAAACTTTTCTGTCCAGGAAAAGAACTTTTTTGTTTCCAAGTATCCTGCCTGCAGAAGTGAGGGGGGCAGCAACAAGAAACAGGGCTTTTCCCCCTTGGTCGTGGCACCTTGAAAAGCCCCCCCCCCCCCGGTTCAACCATAGTCGTCTTTAGACGCCAGTCAAAAACATTTCTATTTACTCAGGGTAAAAAATGAGGGATACTATCTTTTAATGCTGTTTCCCTGGTCTGCTTCTAACTTTGAGGACCATTTTAGGAATATCCCTCTAAGATGCTGAACATTTCTTAATTCTGTTTTCATGCCTCTGTCTTGTTTTTATGCTGTGGAGCTTTTTAATGGATTGTTGCATGATTTTATACACTGCACAGCACATTCATCAGTTGGGGTTACCAACATTCGTACAGACCCCAAAATCGTAATTGTTATTTATACCACTGTACACATTTTAATTTTCACAGACACCTCTATAAAGCACTGTGCAAATGCTTTTCTTGACTGGTTACTACTTAGCATTATTGGCCAATGAGTCACATTGTCAGAAGCAGCTAAGGGGACATTATCAATACCAAACTTACAAATTGTTCATATATTCTATGTTGTACATTCTCTGTCTCAATAAGAAAGCAAGAGTTAAGCTTGACTTTGGCTAGATCACACTTTTCACTGCTATCAGCAAGATGTGGTTAGCTGAGTGAAGCTTATAAATCAAAACATAAGTATTTCATGAATTACTACCGCTGTGGTAAAATAGATTGTTATTACCTGGAACAAACTATTTATATTTTTACCCTTCAGGGATATCAAATTAGAGTAAGAGGCAAACAAAGGACCATGGATAAGAAGGGAAGGTTCCGTTTCAAGGTTCTGTGATCGCTAGCTAAAGTGCTCATAAGATACTCTATGAATTCAGTAATAACAGTTTGCCAGGGCCCATAAAGCTGCATAAGATATCCCAGTAGTGTGAAACAGCACCGTTGAGAAATTACATGGAAGAACAGAAATGTATCTCAGGGAAAAACAAAAAGCGGCAAAGTTGAGAAGTCTCTGAAGAGGCAGATTGATAAACTGCTCAAGACTTGAAGAAGAAGAGATTGGAATTATACCCCGCCCTTCACTACCCGAAGGAGTCTCAGAGCAGCTTACAAACGCCTTTCCCTTCCCCTCCCCACAACAGACACCCTGTGAGGTAGGTGGAGCTGAAAGAGCTCTGAGAGAAACTGCTCTTTTTCAAGGTCAGCTCTTGTCAGAACTATGGCTTGCCCGAGGTCATCCAGCAGCTGCAAGTGGAGGAGTGGGGAATCAAACCCGGTTCTCCCAGATTAGAGTCCGCACACTTAACCACGACACCAAACTGGCTATACCAAACTTGAAACGAATGTGCTGCTCCTGTCCCTGCCTTGTGACCACTGATTACTGACAGAATTGGTACTAAATTCAATTGCAGCAAGAGAAGCTAAACTGGACTAGTATATTTATGTCAGCGCTGTGCCACAATTGCAACTGGCCGTACCTATTGCTGGCATAGCCCTAATACTCATGGAGGAGAAATCACCATGAGGGGAAAACAGGGGCTTTAGTTGTGGGGGTCTGAGGGAGAGAGAAGTCTTCCCTTGCCCTGATATTTAAGACTCTTTTAACTGGAGAAGTTGAATTCTAGACCTTTTGAATGCAAAGTCTGTGATCCACCAGAGAAATATCTCTTCTCTAAAGGTTACTGCCTGCTCTCCTATCTAATGAAATCCTTTTGGACTACATCAGAATCTGTTTAACACTTAATTATCGCGAAATGCTTTCTATCTCCTATGAAAGATGCCGCTTCGTTACTTCCAGATCTTTGGGGTAGCCTCCTAGGGATTTAATTGCTTCTAATTAACCTCAGCAAATTCATAATCATTTTATTGCTTGCACTGACCTGCTTTGTGGGTCTTAATTTAGCTAACAGATAGTTCTGAGCTTATAATTTCATATCCTTTGCTCGCATTCTGCGTTTCTGAATATGCTTTGGAAAGATAATCTAATAGCAATTTCAATTACTTGTTCTCACTCAGCCATACGCTTCCTTAAAAAATTGTTGAGATTCTGACAATGTGTTACAGTCAAATCAATATGTAATTAGAAAAATCACAAATCCTTAATTAATCACAGGAGTCACACACCCACTTCCTCAATGGTAATACAACTTTGGATTTCCTATAATAAACTCCTAGCTGCCAACATGGTGTACCCTCCATGGCAAAAACAAAAGCCATGCAAAATGCTGTAAGGGGGAGTTCTTTTTATTCAGGATCTCCAGGAATTTCCCAAGATGGAGTTGGTAGCTTGAGCTACAGTCCAAAATGCCCTCCCCCACTGCCCCACTGTTAATTTGTAGTCCAAGGTGGCTGCTTTGAAGAGGGAGAGGTTATTTGGTGTAGTGGTTAAGTGCGCAGACTCTAATCTGGGAGAATGTCAGGTCCCCACAGCAAACAACGTAGTACACACTTGCAAGAAGGTTTTACTTTATTGAAGCCATGAAGCACTTGAACAGAACCACTGTTCAGAATAACGATTACCCAGAGAGCTGGAAAGGTTAAAGCAAGTTCATAATCATTACAGCCAATAGACATGGTTCCCACACGCGGCCAAAGGGTTTCTAGCGCGCCCAAACCTTGGGAAAGCAACTGCTACTATATTATAAATAATCATGCGATTCACACAGTCTCTACTAATTACAGACAAAGCAAAGCCCACTTGGTCTTCCTCCTGTGTCCTTGGCTAGATAACGTTACATCAAAGCATGGCTGGCATATACTGAAAGGAATGCAAAGCAACAGGGCAAATGTGCGCATGACAACCTGAGCGCATGTATGGGGGGGGGGAACAGCGTGTAGAGAATTATACAGACAAGAATAAACATTTGGCAGCTTGCTGACCTAGAACCGGGTTTGATTCCCCACTCCTCCACTTGCAGCTGCAGGATGACCTTGGGCAAGCCACAGTTCTGTCAGAGCTGACCTTGAAAAAGAGCAGTTCTCAGTCAGAGCTCTCTCAGGCCCACCCACCTCACAGGGTGTCTGTTGTGGGGAGGGGAAGGGAAAGGAGTTTGTAAGCCGCTCTGAGACACCTTTGGGTAGTGAAGGGCGGGGTATAAATCCAATCTCCTCCTCCTCTTCTTCTTCCTATCCTCATATACTTCTCCCAAGATTTGAAATGCCTTTCCAATGGTACAGCTGGCTCTCATGGGGAGATATATATTTTCAGGCTCCCCAAGCCCATTTATTCTCCCAGGAGAGCCAATTGCAACGGCTTTGGGGAAGCATTTTAAATCATGAAAGTATGGAAGAATAGGGCTAAACACCCCCACCTCCCACTGATGCTTCTCCCATCCTCAAACCAGCCAACGCAGGACAGAAAATTAGCCACTTCACGCCTCCCATACATGTGTCTTCCACACAATAAGTGTACTTTGGCCATTAGCTTGCCATTCGAGGAATGGAAGATTTGTATTCACTTGCCGTGAAGCTTCCTTCTCGGTGGTCCAGAGTGGGGCAGTCCTAGGAGTGAGGAGTCAAGGACTGCCCCACTCCTGGACCACCGGAGAATGGAAGATTTGTATTCACTTACCGTGAAGCTTCCTCCTCGGTGGTCCAGAGTGGGGCAGTCCTAGGAGTAAGGAGTCAAGGACTGCCCCACTCCTGGACCACCGGAGAATGGAACATTTGTATTCACTTACCGTGAAGCTTCCTCCTCGGTGGTCCAGAGTGGGGCAGTCCTTGACTCCTTACTCCTAGGACTGCCCCACTCCTGGACCACCGGAGAATGGGAGCAGTGCACCGCACCATGTGCTTGGATCAAGAATCCTCTGCACCAAAGGCTTGTTCATGCCATGCGAAAGTCAAAGCAATTACTTTCCAATGTTTTTATATATAACAGCTTTATTGATCTAGATACTTAACAACTGTGGCAGATGCTGTTGAAAGCAGGGACCGGCCCCACGATCCCCAAGTTGTCCATCTACTCCCTTTAGACAGTGAATCCACATCCTACAGGAAAAAGAGAGATCCACGGCACTGTCAGTCATGAACCGCTACTGACGTCTGGAGAAACATATTTAAAACCAGTGTAGAAATGAAGCAGACACCAATGCCATAGAAACCAACCCACGGTGATTTGAATCATCAAATATAAGGTCCAGTTTTGGACATGAAGAGGAAGGTCACAATCTGTTGAAGTGCACCATTTACTGCTGTCTGTTAATTTGGAAACGGTCACTTCTTAACTTGCTACTGTGGGTTGTTTCCATTTTCTGTTTACAACCAGGTCAAAGATGCAACACTTTTGACCTATGACATCCTTGCGGGAAATATACACGCACCTGAGTAAAGGAATGTAATTGGAGATATAATTGTTAATTTCTGTTCTTTTGACTGTATATATTAGCAATGGCAACAATCATTGTACTAGATAAGATTTGACAATGTAGTTACATGGCGAAATTCACTTTTGAATTGGAAATTATGTATCTGTTGAAAGCACATACTACCGCAAACAAATTCTTGGAAAAAGATAGCTTCAGGATATTAGGCTACACTTCTGGTATCTTAAGTGCTTTGATAATTAACCAGCTCCACATCAGTGTTCTTCAAATGGTGTTCCAGGGAACACGGGACTTGTCAGAATTTAAACAGGGGGTCCTTCATGCAAGATCAGTAATGGCTGATTAGCTTTCCTGAAGGACAGCTTGCCAATTTCCAATGCACAAAGAAGAGCGTCAATTATGTTCTACAGCAAAGTTCTTCAATTTTGTTGAATCCCTGGGCAATCAGTTGGATACAGACTACTGGGTACTGTCAAGAAACTGGCCCTGCCTAGCCATTTCTTGGCTTTTCAAAATTTTGATTCAGGCTTTTGAGACTAGTCGTTACTGAAGGTTTCTCTCCAGGAAATCAATGTCACGCTGATTTGTAGTTTCCAGAAAGATAAAGGAATGAGATGGAGTCAGGCTCAAGTGCTAGTGAGATCAAAACACCTGACTTACCTGAAGGTAAGTACCTCAGCCTATTTTGGTTACAGCTACCAAGTAACTGCAGAACTCAACCCACAAGTGCCCTACCTTACAGGGTTGACTTCTTGATGAACATTCCATTGGGCTGGACTCTGCCTTGGTCCCTCAGTCTCTCTTCTGAGGATTATCTTAGAGGGGCTGGTGGGGGCTTCTTACCCCGGGCACTGAGGATTCACTACCCAGTATTGTGTATTTTGCTCTTGACCTTCACCCCAAAGCCTGCTTGCGGGACAAGGGGGCTTTAACAGGTAGCACTCAAAAATGGCGGTATGAGGGGCAAGTAGAAAAAAAAATGCCAGAAGGTTCTAAGACAAGCATCCTCCAAGGATGGGTTCGGTTGGGGAGCTGTGTTGGTCTGCAGTAGAAAAGCTAGTGCTACTGGACATGAATCTAGCTCTCCAAGGATGGAGACAGCTATTTCCGAATGAATGCTCCCTGCAGACCCAAAGGAGATGCCCCCTGGTAGTCTTACGAAGCACCTCCTGCTTCAGTGAGGCAGTAGGAAGCCAGGACTGGTCCTTTGCGTTGAGGAAGAAGCAACTTGACACCTTGACACCTAGAAGCACACTGCTGGTCACCACGTGGGGGATCGCCGTTCTATGGTATGTGGGGCAACGGTGAGGCCCAGCTGGCTTGGAGGATGGCCTTCATCAAGTGAAAATGTCCCTTGGAGAGCCCTGAAATGCACTAGGAACCCTGGCAGACCAATCAGTGTGGAAAGCGTTCTCTGAAGGTACGAAGTCCAGAAACTGCTGCATTAAGGTATCGAGACCACTG